TGGAGTCGCGGGGGGGTGGGGACGAGAGAGAGAGAGAGAGAGAGAGAGGAGGGAGGGAGAGATCAGCTCGCCTGCAACATGGACAAGTGATCTAAACAGACAACTCAGAGCCGTCTCTCCCACACCGCACGCTCCCCCCCCAACGCAACAAACACACACACAGCTTTCCTCCCGAGCCTGCTGAGCCTTTGCACGGATCTAAGGAGCCCACGTCTCCCGACCACCAGGTAAGGAGGGGAACCCGGGAGAGCGTGCGTGCGTGTGTGTGTGTGTGAGTGAGAGAAAACAATATATATATATATATCTGTACCAGGGATGGGGAGGGAAGTTGTACGGTTAAGAGCCAGAGAGAAATCTTTCCCTGGATTTCTCCAGATGCAACTCAGCAAGACTTGGAATGGGCAAATCTCTCCCTCCCGAGCAATTTATTCTCTATACAGTATTTGTTTTCTCCAAGAAAAGGTGTAGGGGGAGTGAGATCAATGGCAAAAGGAAATTTTGGAAAGGTGTGTGTTTTTTTATGCAAAAAGAAAAAGGGGGGGCAGAGAGACGCGCGTCCAAGGCACTAGGACAAATCTCAAATGAATAGGAATTCTTTTTTTGGGGGGGAGAAAGCAATTATCCTGCTTTTTTGGGGTGCTGGGATGAAGAGGTGTCGGGGTACCAAGGTGATGGAAGGTGGGGTGAGAGTGATGGGGAGGGAGGGTTTGGGTTTCTTTGGGGGCAGGAATTTCAAACAGGGCTGGAGAAGACGGGGGGGGGGACCCAGAAGAGAGCAGGAAGTAGACGTAGGTAAGGAACGCAAGCCAAATGGGGTCATAGGTTTTGGCTGCTGCATCCCAAAGATGCTAATTGAAACGCGCAAGGGGGCAAAGCCGAGAGTTGATTTTGGGGTTCACCAAACACAGTCGCCACCCCCGACCTTCCCTAAACACAGACACAATGCAGGTCTTTCACTTCTGCTTTCTCATGGCTGGTTCTCTAACACACACACACACAAACACACAGACACAACCCGCAAAGCCCCTGCTGTCCAGGAATCCAGTATCCCACAGCACCAAAACTGGTGGTTTTAGTGCCAAACTATATACGAGGACCCCCTTTTTTTTCTCCCACCCTTGATCTCCTGATGGCTCCTGCTCCATCTCAACCCTGCATGCCAGGTGGGTTCCCCCCCCTTTAGGAGGGTGGGGAGATTGAGAGGGTTCTGGTTTCTGATCTTTGGGGCAGAAGCAACAGGGCTCAAGAGGAACTGCCCCACTGCACACAGAGGGAGTGTGGGGTGGTGGTGGAGAGGCCGAAGAGCAGGCAGAGGCACCGCCTGGCACCCACAAGGGAGGGGGGCCTGGACGGAGTCCGCTTGCGCCGCCTTGCACGAGGGCTGTTTGGAGCCTTGTGTTCTGGTGCCGCGCATGTGCGCGCTGGAGGGATTCTCCAGAGGGAAGAGGTACACCCGGCCTGCACCTACAAACCAAAACAGGTCGTGGGAAGGCATTTTAAGAGCTCTGTGGCTAACTCACCATTCCCACGGTGGAGCATGGGTGTGTGAGTGAGAGCTGGCATCCAGGGTGGTGTGTGGGATTCTGCTGCAGACTGAGCAGGGCCCATGGGAGTTCATAGGTATACATGCGCGCTTAGGCGCTGGCAGTGTCTTCCGACCATAGGGTGCCAAGATGCCCTGGAAGGGGGTGAGAGAGTAGATCAAAATAATTTCCCCCCCCCAAAAAAAACCCTAGGGAGCTCCTGCTGATCCAAGGATGTGGAGGAGGCGCCTTTGAGGATCAGGGTGAGAGGGGGGGGGCTGAAATCCTTCAAGGACCGCCTGCCGCCAACAATTCCCACCAGGCTCGCAAGAGGAAAAATGGGTGCCAGGGCTTCTGGCCATGCCCGGTGTTTGGAGGCAAGCTGGCTCGGGGCCGGATGGACACGACGCGGCTTGGCTGTCACCCAGCCCGTAGCTTAGCCAAGGCGTTTCTGTTGTGCCAGGGCCCTGGGCATATGTCACTTCCCTCCCCCCCCCCGGTGCTTTTTCTGTAGTGGAGGGAAGGGTTGGCCAAGGAGCATCTCCTCATGCCCGCTTGGCAGAGGTGGTCATGCCCAACGAAATGGGATGGGAGCTGGCAACCGAGGGCGATCTGTAGCTTCGGGCGATGCAAAAGCCCTTAGGATGCCCGGGAGACGTTACAACTCACACCTCACTGAGTCTGAACTTTTGCTGGCACTGTTTTATTATTGGTTATAATATTGCTGCTGCTACTAATCATCTTCCTCGTCTGAGAATGGCGGGGCTGGAAGGGACCCCACGGATGATGGAGTTCAGCCCCTGTCAGGGAAGCTCAGTGGGGGGGATCGAACTCCCAACCTCTGGCTTCGCAGCCAGAGACCTGGACCACTGAGCAATCCAGCAGTTCTTATTTATGAGTGACATTTAGAGAAACCCAGCAGTTCTTATTTATGAGTGACATTTAAACCTCTGCTGTTCCTCCCTTGCCTTGTCTTCCTGCCTCAGACAGAGGAGCCCTGTAGGTTTAAATGTGCCCGGGAGCAGCCAGTTTTACCTCTGCGTTCTGCCCATCCCTGGCTTCTGTGCTTTCCTCCCCATCAGATGCAAGGGGGCATGACCCCCCTATTGCCCGCCACCTTCCCTGCTCATATCCGTAGATGTCTCGGGCCACAGGACCAGTCAGTCTACGGTTCGACCCACAGCGAGGTTTCTGGATGGGCCTCCGGTCCGGTGGCCGGTTGCTAAAGGATGCTAAACATGTTACAAAACATCGGACCATTGAGTCAAAGGTTCCATGGGCAAGCAAAGAATTTCCAGTGTAGAAGGAGCGCTAGCCTTTCTGACTCAAAAAAGGCTAAGCCATGCAGAAGGCTATTCCCCCCCTCTAGTCATGCGCCCTTTGCACATGGATGCGCCTTGCGCATCCTCAGCCCCTCCACATCTGCACAGTGTTATAGGCCACCTTACTGGCGGCTGTTGGTGCTTTTTTCCTTACTGCTTTTCCTTTCACTTTTCTGATCTATTCATGCTTTTCCTGTGCGCTGTTGAATAACTAGCAAGTGTCGGATGTATTACGGGCACACGCTCGCTGAAAGCGCATATATGCTGTCCCACGCGCAGTGGGAAAGACAGGGTGGTGTAGATAACATACTAGACTCAGGAGACCTGGATTCAAATCTCCACTCATTGGGGTGGAGATTTGCAAACCACTCCTTGAATTTCCCATTGTTGCTGTTACTGAGGACGACTCATTGGGGTGGAGATTGCAAAACACTCCTTGAATTTCCCATTGTTGCTGTTATGTGTCCTCAAGTCATCTCAGGCTTATGGCAACTTTATGAATGAACGCTCTCCAAAATGTCCTGTCCCCAACAGCCCCGCTCAGCTCTTGTAAACTCAATCCTGTGGTTTCCTTTAGGGATTTAGTCCATTTCACATTTGGTTCCTCCTCTTTTCCTGCTGCCTTCCACCTTTCCCAGCATTATTATTTCCTCCCCAAACCGAGAGAATCCTGACTTCTCAGAAGATCCTCAAAGTAGGACAGCCTCAGCTTCAGCATTTTTGCCTCCAGAGATTGTTCAGGCTTGATTCTATCTAGGACCCCCCTTGTTTGTGTTTCTGGCAGTCCAGAGTATCCGCAAAGCTCTCCTCCAGCACCACATTTTGTATATATGTGGAAAAACCTTCTGTGGTTGCCATAAGTCAGAAACGAGACAGCACACAACAACACAACAATCCAATGTCCATTCCCCCCTACCTGCCTTAGAGTCTCCCTTCTCATCAATCTTTTCTTTGCCTCTGAATTATTTTTGGCTTCCAAATTTTGTCTCTGCACCCCGACAAAACCCCACACGTACGCATCAGACGCTGCTCCCTCGCTCGTGTGGCTCAACGAAATCAGCTCCCTTGTATTTCCTTCCAAACTGGGTTACTTCTGCGTGTGCTCAATTCTTGACACAGATATTACCAGCTGAACAGGAAACGGTACACCCCACTGCACCAGTAATTAAAAAAAAAGCATAATTAAGCCCTGAAAAGCAGCCGGCTTTTCTCCATGCAATACACATCCTAAAACAGACATAAGTCTACCAGGCGTATTTAGACTTACACATTGAAGGCGCAGCGGGAGATTTTTGCCAAAGCCTTATCAGAGGGTTTTGCACCAGCTACTCAGGGCATTTCAAGTAGAGATGGGGGTGGGTGAGAGGTGCCTTATTCTAAATAATAAGCAAAATACTCCCCAGGGAGGGCAAGATTTTTCTCCGTGTCCGATCCACACATCCGTGGGCAATATATGCGGTGAGGCTGCTGGTCCCTGAGGTTACAAAAGGCTAACCGTCTGCTCTGGGTTTTAGGCCGAAATTGGCAAGAGCTGTCCAAGATTCAGAGCTGAGGGCCCCTCCCAATCCTTTCAGCACCACGGAGAGAGCCTTTCACATTGAGATTACAAATCTCAGAGCGCTTTCCGAGACCGTCACACACATCTCTCACCTCGGGGTCAGCAACCTCCGCCGAATCCATGTTCACGACTAACGACAACCCCTCCTTCCACACAAACGCACCAACGCAGAACGAGATCCAGATTCCTAAATTCTCTGTCTGCGCTCCGAACAAGGCCACGGAAAGCATCTGCTCCCTTCCCCCCCCCATGGAGTGTCTCATATATTTCATAGAGCCATCCATGTTGGAAGAAAGGCAGTTGGAGGTTGTGGGGGGGGGCGGCAGGACTGTTTGAGCGACTTTGCAAACGGGGAGGGCAAGCAGAAGGAGAATAATGGGGGATCATCATACTTACAGCCCAGAACAAACAGCCGTGGGGGGGATTAATGGCAGGGATTATAATGCCAGATTGCCTCAACGAATGGACATAAGGGGCCGGTTTAGGACAGGGCTGGTCTGGGAAAAGTGGGGGCGGACAGGAGAATCCTGTCCCGTTAACAACGGGGAGTATGGGCCTCCGCCTCCCATAGGGGCTGCTTGCGGGTTTCTTTTCCATGAGCCATCCTTAAACCCATCAGGAAGGGGAGCTTACGGCTTGATAAACTTATCACTTTCCCCGTGGGCTTAATCTTAGCCATTTTGTCTCCCAGTCGGGACAATCTCTGCCCGTCCGCTCGGGAGGAAGGCGTTAAAAAGAGGCCAGCGGTCGACCGAAAGGACCCCCAGTTCTCGTCACGCGATGAACTTGCTCGTAGAGCCGGTCCTACCGTGGGGCAGGCTGCCGTGACATCTTTTTCAGCCGGCAGATTTTTGTGTCGGTGATGCGAAAGGGGTTGTGGTCGTCGTTTTACCACCAGAGGTGGAGAAGAAATTGGGTTTTTCCCCCCTCCCTCTCCCCGGCTTTTGGTGTCAGAATCAAGTGGTGGGCTTCTGGTAGTCTGCCCCCCCATTGAAACCCGATGTGTGGGTCTATGTGGTTTTATCCTGCTCTGCCTCGGGCAGCAAAGCGTCTTGGGCTGGCCCTGAGCCTTTGCACGGCAGGAAATGAAGTTCTCTGGCCTACCTAACAGGGGGGTTGTACGGAGGGCAAGGCTAACGGGCTAGCGGGTTTTCCTGACACTGTGTCTTCGGTGGATGGAGGGGTGCATTATGGATCAGCTCTCCTTGCCTTGTTAGATAGGATGGGAGTTGTCAGTCAACACACCAGGATTGTGTTGCGGTGGGGAAAAGCCACCATATGGTAAGACACATTGAACAGTTTGCTTTCTTTTTTTAAAAAAAAGTGCTGTTAATTAAATATTATTACTAACATCTGCCTGGATTTGCTCCTATCCTCCTTTCTCTGTGATATTTCTCAAGCTATTACTGTCAATATGGAATCAATCATCGCCAGCATCATCACGTCCCGTCAATTCACAGGGTTTAGAGGCAGAGAATACTCAGAAATCTTTCCCCCAAGAGGCCGAGTGGGAGAATCAAACTCTGGACCTCTGTCTCTGCAGCCGGAGATCTAAAACACCAGGCGATCCATACGGTATATTAAATTCTTAGAGAAACAATTTCTGTTCATCGGATCCCATAAAAATAAGAAAGACGAGACAGTAATCTGGAAACTATCGCGTACTATGGCGTAGAAACCTTGCGCGTTAAGATCCAGATGATGTGGGATTATACTGTCTTAGCTATCCTAGCCAATGATGAAGGGTAAATGGACATTGTAATCGCAAGCCATAGGAAGAGCATCTCCTGCTGTCCCCAATTGCCTTCTTGCCAGGACTGTGGACACTTATTAGAGAGGAAATGCACACCTAACAAGGGGAGTCACTCACCTGCTGTTGTCTCATTTCATCTGAAATGTCTAAAAAGTGGAAATTTATTCCTCTGAAAAAAAAAACAGACTAAGGCCCAGATCTGCCTTTTACTAGTTTGTAGAATGGCAGACTTGGAAAAAGCCACTGCCAGAATCCTATCTGTGTTTTTCAAAGGTTTGCATTGTTTGCTGTGGCTAATTGGAGCTAATTGACAAGGTGCTGAAGCAAGCTCATCTCGGTGGTGCTGGAAGGCAGGCGTGTCTGGTCACATGACCAGCTGTGCAACTGAGATGAGCCTCGGTGCTGTGTGAATTAGCTACAATTAGCCATGGCAAGTGACTCAAATACTACGTGGAAGCAAATAGGATTCCAGCCATAATTTAACATACAGTGCGTCTTATTGTGGTCAGGTGACTTGCAAGCCTGTTGCGCCCACTGCCCAGATGTGCTGCTAGCCATGGAGGGAAAACTGTTAAAGGCAGGACATTTGGAAGATGCTCCTTTCATAGGGTTGCCATGCACTGGAAGTGGCTTAAGGACATGGAACAACAGATTCTTGTCTAACATCGCTGTGTAATAAATCATAGTTATGATGGGGCTTCTAGGTTATAATAATCAATGCACACGGTAGAGAAATGGGGTACAGGGAACTCCTCACCCTTTACTGAGCAGGGGCAAAATTGAAAACATGGATGTTTTCCTCCATGCTGCTTCATTCACATCCGCTTCAGCCAAGATCAATGAATAATAAAAATCGTCTTAAGCACCTTCTGGTGCTGTGCAGGGGTCATGTTTAAATATACAAACCCTGCCTGAAGTTACAGCCTGAGAAAACCGGTCGTCCGTAATGCACATATTTCCCCTCCCCTCACTGGTGAGGCCATATCTCAAGAGAAACAGGGCTTAGTTGAGCTTTACAACGTCTTCCCAGGGCTGACCCCAGAAATTTTGCCGCCTGATGAAGAGAAAGCAGCAAACGGCGCCCTCCCTGGTCAGGAACCCAAACGTAGAGGAGGGAGATTCTACTTACTCTTCAGAGAGCCATGGGTTGCCTTATCTTCTCTCTCCACCTGGCCTGCCTCACAGGACTGTTGTGCTGATTGAAGTGGGGAAGAAAAGGGGAGAAATTGATAAAAAGGTGCCTCACAAAGAATGAGAACAATAATAAATACACTATGATCTTGCTATGAAGTAGGAACTACAATAAGTATTTCTCAGCATTTTGTTGTTGTTGTTTAGTTGTTAAGTCGTGTCCGACTCTTTGTGACCCCATGGACCAGAGCATGCCAGGCCCTCCTGTCTTCCACTGCCTCCCGGAGTTGGGTCAGATTCATGTTGGTCACTTCGGTGACCATATCCAATCATCTCCCCTTCTCCTCCTGCCTTCACACTTTCCCAACATCAGCGTCTTTTCCAGGGAGTCTTCTCTTCTCGTGAGGTGGCCAAAGTACTGGAGCCTCAGCTTCAGGATCTGTCCTTCCAGTGAGCACTCAGGGTTGATTTCCTTCAGAATGGATAGATTTGTTCTCCTTGCAGTGCAGGGGACACTCAAGAGCCTCCTCCAGCACCACAATTCAAAAGCATCAATTCTTCGGCGGTCAGCCTTCTTTATGGTCCAGCTCTCACTTCCATACATCACTAATGGAAAAACCATAGCTTTGACTAGGCAGACCTTTGTCAACAAGGTGATGTCTCTGCTTTTTAAGATGCTGTTGAGGATTATCATAACTTTCCTCCCAAAAAGCAGGCATCTTTTAATTTCATGGCTGCTGTCACCACCTGCAGTGATCATGGAGCCCAAAAAAGTCAAATCTGTCACTGCCTCCATATCTTCCCCTTCTATTTCCCAGGAGGTGATGGGACCAGTGGCTATGATCTTCGTTTTTTTATGTTGAGCTTCAGACCATTTTTTGCGTTCTCTTTCACCCTCATTAAGAGGTTCTTTAATTCCTCCTCAGTTTCTGCCATCAGAGTGGTATCATCTGTATATCTGAGGTGGTTGATATTTCTTCCCCCAATCTTAATTCCAGTCCAGCTTTCTGCATGATGTATTCTGCATATAAATAAGCTGGGGGACAATATACAGCCTTGTCGTGCTCCTTTCCCAATTTTGAACCAATCAGTTGTTCCATATCCAGTTCTAACTGTTGCTTCCTGTCCCACATATAGGTTTCTCAGGAGATGGACAAGGTGGTCAGGCACTCCCATTTCTTTAAGGACTTGCCATAGTTTGTTGTGGTCCACACAGTCAAAGGCTTTTGCATAATCAATGAAGCAGAAGTAGGTGTTTTTCTGGAACTCTCTGGCTTTCTCCATAATCCAGCGCATGTTAGCAATTTGGTCTCTAGTTCCTCTGCCCTTTCAAAATCAAGCTTGTACTTCTGGGAGTTCTCGGTCCACATACTGCTGAAGCCTACCTTGGAGGATTTTGAGCATAACCTTGCTAGTGTGTGAAATGAGTGCAATTGTACAGTAGTTGGAGCATTCTTTGGCACTGCCCTTCTTTGCGTTTGGGATGTAGACTGATCTTTTCCAATCCTCAGCATTTTAGGCAGTGAAAACACAAGGCTAACATTGAATAATTTATCACCTTTTCATGTTTGGTCCTCAATTTGCTGCCCCCAGCTTGCCAAACGGTAGGGCCGGCCTTTCCTTCCCGCGCCACATTCCAAAAGAGAAGGCATTTAGTGAATTGGCTGTCGTTTTCTTGAAAGAACGCCAGCACCCCGCACCATAAACGAGTCAAAGGATGTTTAATCGAATCCTGCTACAGAGTTGGGCACATTGATGGCAGGACTGCAAAAGGCATTCAGAAGGATTTGTGACCTGCAGTGATGGGGCAGGAAGAAGGGGAGAGAAGGGGAAGGGAATCAGCGCCGTGGCATTTCGCATTGATGCGCATGCATCAAAAGGTCGGTGCACCAAAGGCAGAATGCTCCCATCCTGACACAGAAGGGGTTGTCGTTGGGGAAAAAAAATCACACGTGTGTTTCCAAATGATATTTTTAAAACAAGCTGCCTCTAAATCTGCGGATGCTAAAGCTTTGGTTCTCCAAAGATGCTGGGTGCTTCTGCGCTTTAATATCCCCAGACATCTGGAGGATCAAAGGTGAGACATCTGGGCCCTGAATGTCTCCCAGGGAAGGAAAATTAAGATAACGAGACAAGTAAGAATTATAAGGAGAACCTTACTGAATCAGACTGGCATCTAGTTTCAAACCAGCACCCTGTTTCCCATGGTGGCTGCCGCCAAAGACTTATCATAAACCCACATAGCATGGCTTGAAATTAAAAGCCTTCCCGTCGTTTGCTCCTCCAGCAACCCGTATTTGCAGGTAGAGTGTGACTGGACAGGGAGGATACATTTCTGAACTACCCTGTCTATTGAGAACAACATTAAAAAGCCCTGCTGGCAAAAAAGTCCCATCTGGACAAGGCTTGGGGGAAACCCAGAATGTTGGACTACAGATCCCAGAATCCCCCCAGCCATTAGTCAAAAAAACTTTGACCTTTCTCTCTGCAACCCAGTCTAGCACCCCGTTTCCCCAAGGTGGCCAACTAGATGTCCCCAGTGGGTGCCACCGATGTCTGGATACGATCCTCCCTACACTCAGAAACAGCTATTGAGCGGCCGACTATTTTTCAATACAGCCATTCTATTGTACACCTAATAAGCGCCCCCCCCAGCTTATCCCCGCCCTCTGTGCTCATCCAGACTGGCCTTAAAACTGTCAAAACCATCGGCTGTGACTGTGTTTTAAGCAAAGGTCATGGCTCTCAAACGGGGCTCCCGTTTTGCACCTCGCAGAACGATCTTTCTCCTGATGACGGACTGAGGTCACAGCTGGATTACAGAAGAGGCAAATAAATCTCTCTCACTCACACACACACACATACACAAGTTAGGAGCTGCTAAAATACAATGTGTCACCCTCCCACCCACACCCCTGGATAGGGTGGACTACAATACCCATGATCAGAAAAACAACTCCCATCCTCTGGGCGACAGCTCCCATCATTTGGTAGCGTAGACCCACATATTTGTCTAGGGGTCTGCAAAGTCCTCTCGGGGGTTGTCCAGCGGTGGCGGGGGTCCGAAAACCACTGCTGTAAGTTGACGCCATTGTGCTTGTAGAACGGCTTTGTGTCTGTTTGTCTGTCCTGAATTTCCTAACCCCAAAGTTTAGCAAAAAAAGGGAATATAACGGCCTCTGGTCTAAGTTCACCCCATTTAAAAAACCCGGGAGTAGCAATCTAGGCCCTGAAAAGGGTATTGGATTTTTTTTTGCAGCACCGTGTCAGAAATGGAGGGGAACAGGGTGGCCATGTTTCCTTCTATAATTTCAAGTTGTCAAGTTGATTCTGACTTAACGGTGATTCTTTGCAAGGTTTCCTAAGGTATACAGTGCTCAGAAGTGCTTTACCCTTCCCTTCCTCTGGGGGCACTATGGGACTGTGCAGCTTGCCCAAGGCTACCCAGGCTGGCTCCTCTCCCAGGAGGCACCGTTGGGGGGAATCGAACTCGCAATCTCTGGCTCCACAACCTGGTAGTCAACTCCCTGAATTACCCAGCCAGCCAACTTTACAGCTCCTCTGTTTGAAGCAGGCTGTTTCATGCTCGGAGAGGCACTATAAATCAGAAGAACTGTCCTATTTAGATCTAGGTTAAAGATAACCTCCAAATGCAGTTACTATTGGGGGGATAATTGGTTCAGTTATACTATGAGTGAAAAGGGTCTTGGAATGTTTGTAGATTAAAAGCTGAACATGAGCCAACAGGGTGATGCGGCTGCAAAAAAAGCCAATGTTATTTTAGGCTCCATTAACAGCAGTATAGTCTCCAGATCCCATGAGGTATTAATCCCCATTTATTCGGCACTGGTTAGGTCTCATCTGTGTCCAGTTCTAGACACCACACTTCAAGAAGGATGCTGACAAACTGGAACAAATTCAGAGGAAGGCAACAAGGATGATCAGAGGACTGGAAACGAAGCCCTAGGAGGAAAGATGGAAAGAACTGGGCATGTTTCGCCTTGAGAAAAGAACACAGAGGGGAGATATGACAGCATACTGTAGGTAGTCCTACAGCTTGAGAGCAGGATCTGTTCTTGATCCTCCCAGAGTACAGGACACATAATAATGGGATCAAGCTACAGAAAGTCAGATTAAGCTGACTATTAGGAAAAACTTCTTAACTGTTAGAGCAGTACGACAATGGAACCAATCGCCAACTGTTAAAGCAGTATGACAACGGAACCAATGATCTTGCAAGGTGGTGAGTGCTCTAACGGAGGCATTCAAGGAAAAAAATGGACAGATCTGCTTTGATTTGGCTTCCTGACTTGAGCAAGGGGGATTGGGCCCGATGGCCTTACAAGGCCCCTTCCGGCTCCATTTATTCTAGGATTCTATGAAGCTGCCCGTTGTCCACCGTATGCAGCAACAGACCGAACAGGCAAGGCCCCCCAGTCTCCCCCACTCCGACAAGATGCATCGGACGTCGGCCGGAACGCGCCTGACGATTTCCACTTTTGCTTCCATAAATCACGCCTGCGGCAAAGATGGCTCTTATCCTGCCATCTTCGCCTCCTTTTTCCGGCTCTCCATAAATGGCCAGCGTGCGTTCCAATCTGCAGTCTAACCACATCGGGGAAGGAGGCAAGGCTGCCCGGCTCTCTTGTAAAGCTATAATTGGTTGCCTGCCAGAGAAAGAGGAATACTCAGAGTGCATGAGAAGTAGGGTGGCTATATTGTAGTGGTGGTGGGCTCCCTTTCTCACCCTCTGCCTGCCTGCACTCCCTTCCCTCTTTCCTCCCCTTCGGTACATATTTCTGAGAAGGTTGGGAGGTTCTGATCCACCCCAGTGACTGCAAAGACAGAAACCGAGAGCAGTTAATTATTATTATAGCCGAATGAACGGAGGCATAAGGGTGCGATTGTGTGTGTTTTTTTTGTAGTCAGCCAGGGAGCATGCAAGAGAGACAGTGCATCGCTTTCCCTGCTATTCCTGGACTCAGAGGGGTGGCAATGGAGTGGAATGGGATATATTTATCAGCATCGGTTGGTGGCAGTGACGTGGGAGGGGTGGGATGAATGGGGGGGGGAGAAAGCAGGGTGCTATCTCCCCTCTTGGGGGGAAGGCGTGAAAAGAGGAGGGACGGCAAGAACAAGCCTGTTTCGAAAACATTTTGCCTAAGACTTCCAGAAATTTAAAGTACCGAAGCCCCCCCCCCAAAAAAAACCCTCCAGGAAGCTGATGGCAGAAATTCCAGCCCCCCTACATACTGCGGGGATCACAGGAGAGGGGAAATGTTTTTATCAACCAAGCTCTCTCTTCATCTATGCCACAATACCGCCCTTCTATCAGAACTGGGAAAGCCAGTTAGCATCATTCTGGATCTTAATACCTTCCATTCTTTTGGAATCCCATCGTCCCCATGCTGCTTGGGGATGATGGGAACTATAGCCAAACACATCTGGTATGGAAGAGGTTGAACGAATATCGGGGAAGATCTTCAGAACCATTACAGGGGCCTAAGTGGCCCTGGAAAAAATATATATACTGGAGCAGAAAAAAAGCCAATCAGTTCCAAAGTATGATTTTCCACTTAGAAACAACCAGATAAGGCAAAGATGGCCTATATATAATCTAGCAGGGACAAGAATACAAGGGGAATAGGCATTGACTCACATTAAGTACATCTGGTTTGCTGACTGCTATCCAGAGCTCACAAATGCCTCTTGCACAGTTTTGAATGTGGGTTAAAGTCCTTTAGCTGCCCATCAGAAGGGCAGAAGCTCGGAGAGCAGAATAGCTTCAAGTTCTCCAGAGTAGTCCACCCCTTTTTCTCTCGTTAACGGGCACTTACAGTCTCAATAACCTATCACGAGACATTACTGGGAGCACGGCTAAAAAGTGTCATTACTTACAATTGAACAGCAAATGGACCAACATGACTGCTTTCGACAACAGACTGCTGTTTACTGCAGAGAGGGAAATAAACAAAGCAGAGAGGTGAGGCTCTGCTTCAATTCAGAGCCAGGGAAGGAAAGGACTGTTTAGGGCTGGAGATACTGACCGTCACCCTGACAAGGAAGGGTCCCTCCTAAGTGAAACAAACTACAAGAAACAAAATTTCCAGAGACAGCTTGACCATTTGAGATCTGCCTAAGAAACGTTCTCTTCTCTCCTTCCCTCGCAGGTTATCTCCTCGTTCTTCACCATGTCCCGTCGTCTCTCTCCTCGTCTGAAGGCTTCAGCCCTTCTCCTGGCTTTGTTCCTGCCTTCACCGCTGGCGACGGTGGACGACCATTCAGGCCTGCCGGGGGGCGGGAGAGCATCCGCAGACGGGGGTAACCAAAGTGCTAAATGCCAGGAGGCCACTGAGTGTCAGGAAGGGGTGATCCTCCCCGTGTGGCTCCCCCAGAACCCTTCCGTGGGCGACAAGGTAGCACGGGCCATCGTGTACTTCGTGGCATTGATCTACATGTTCCTGGGCATGTCCATCATCGCCGACCGCTTCATGGCCTCCATCGAGGTCATCACGTCGCAGGAGAGGGAGATCACCATCAAGAAGCCCAACGGCGAGACCACGACCACCACCATCCGCATCTGGAACGAGACCGTCTCCAACTTGACTCTCATGGCGCTGGGCTCGTCTGCCCCGGAAATCCTCCTCTCCATCATCGAGATCGTCGGCCACGGCTTCCACGCCGGGGACATGGGACCCAGCACCATCGTTGGCAGTGCCGCATTCAACATGTTTGTGATTATCGCCGTCTGCATCCACGTGGTGCCCGAGGGGGAGGTCCGGCGCATCAAACACCTGCGGGTCTTCTTCGTCACCGCCGCCTGGAGCATCTTCGCCTACATCTGGCTGTACCTCATCCTGGCCTGGTTTTCTCCTGGGGTTGTGGAGTTATGGGAAGGCCTGCTCACTTTCCTTTTCTTCCCGCTTTGCGTGGTTCAGGCGTGGGTGGCCGACCGGAGGCTTTTGTTCTACAAGTACGTCCAGAAGAAGTATCGCGCCGACAAGGCCCGAGGCCTCATCATCGAGACGGAGGGGGACAGCGGCTATCCGAAACTGGACATGGAGATGGACAACTCGCTGAAAGAAGGGACAGAAGGGCTGGTGGACGGCGGGAAAGACCAGGACGACGAAGCTCGCCGAGATATGGCTCGCACTTTGAGGGACCTCAAGCAGAGGCATCCGGAAAAGGACATGGAGCAGCTCATCGAGATGGCCAACTACCACGTCTTGGTCCAGCAGCAAAAGAGCAGGGCCTTCTACCGCATCCAGGCGACGCGGATGATGATCGGGGCGGGGAACATCCTCAAGAAACACGCGGCCGACCAGGCCCGCAAAGCCATCAGCATGCAGGAGGTGCGGCCGGAGGAAGACGAGTCGGTCACCAAAGTGGGCTTCGAGCCGGCTCACTACCAATGCTTCGAAAACTGCGGCTCCGTCGTGCTGACCGTGGCCCGGAGAGGAGGGGACCCTAGCCGTGTCACGTTGCGCGTGGACTTCCACACCGAGGACGGGACGGCCAACGCCGGTTCGGACTACGAATTCGCAGAGGGCACGCTGATCTTCAAGCCCGGAGAGACGCACAAGGAGGTGAGGGTGGGGATCATCGACGACGACATATTTGAGGAGGACGAGTATTTTTACGTCCACCTCAGCAATGTCCGGGCTTCCTGGGCCGAGCCGGGTCCCGAACCGCCGCCTAAAGCCTCCCTGGGGCCATCCAAGATGGCCACCGTCACCATCTTTGACGACGACCACGCCGGCATCTTCACCTTCGAGGGGGCTTCCATGCGGGTGAGCGAGAGCGTGGGCGCAGTCCGCATCAAGGTGCTGAGGACTTCCGGGGCACGCGGGCGTGTGGCCATCCCCTTCCACACCATCGAGGGCACCGCGAAAGCCGGAGAGGACTACGAGGAGGTGGCTGGCAAGGTGGAATTCCAGAATGACGAGACCATGTAAGAGATGAGGAAATGGGATTTCAGGGTTCGGGGTGTGAGAAAATGCTCCTCAAGTTGGAAATGGGGGGGTGGGAAACTGAGGAGAGGCAGTCAAGCACGAGATAAAAAATGATATGTGTGGAAACCTGGCGGATGATAGTGGTGGTTTTTACTTGCTCGAAGCAGAGCTGACATAAAGCCAGAGTATCAGGGCATTTCTGGCCAAGGTGTCCATCATCATCAACACCACTACCATCGTCATTTAAGAACTGCAAAGGGACCTTACGGATCATCAGGCCCATGATCCATTGTCCCGCCCCCTGTGGAAACCCGGTGGATGATAGTGGTGGTTTTTAATTGCTCGAAGCAGAGCTGGCATAAAGCCAGAGTATCAGGGCATTTCTGGCCAAGGTGTCCATCATCATCAACACCACTACCATCGTCATTTAAGAACTGCAAAGGGACCTTACGGATCATCAGGCCCATGATCCATTGTCCCGCCCCCTTCTTTGTCAGAGGATTCTGGGAATTGTAGTGCAAACAACAGCCAACCTTACCCAAACGCTGGTCGGCTTGCCTTTCCCAAGCGGATAGGGTTCGGAGAGAGAGGTGGCAGAGCTGAGACAGGCTAAGAAAGATCCGATGTTATATGGGCATCGTGCTCAAGAACCCCCAAATCTGAAACTTCTCCCACCCCCAAAATTTGAAGCCTGCACTAGTTTTAGTACAATAGACGGTGACTTTCTTGAACGGGGCCTGTTTGGTGGTGGCACCAGTCATTCCTGAATTATCTTGTTTCAGAGCTTTGGCTGCTAATTACGTTGTCCATGCGGCAAATATCAGCATCCAATTAGAGAAAAGCAATCAGATAGCGCTGGTCCTCCCTAAATTCTCAACCCGTTGTCTCCAGCAGGGGCGAAAGAGGAGGGAAGGCTTTACTTAGCCTTTGGGCTAAAGATTTAAAGAATTTTCTCCCTGCGTTTTTCATGGATTAATTTAAGTTTTATTTCTGCCCGGAGTATTCGACGCCCCTGCAATAAGAATCCTGCCACTTTTTAATATGTTGTTTGTGAGTTTTTAATGGCTTTCAATTTGCTTTTCCGAGTATTTTCAGGGCAGGGTGGGAGAGCCTCCTGGGAATTTGCTTGAAGGGTGGGTGAGGAATATCAACAATAAGCAAGCCGGCAGATAAAGCAGGCAGGCAGGCAGGCAGGAAGAGACTGAGGTAAGATATTTAGCACATGAGGGTGGAGGACACTGCATTTGCGGTAAGGCGTCTCCGTGCGCGTGCACATGCGCACACACACACACACACACAGGCGAGGGAAGACAGGAATTTACTGGGAGAAAGAGAAAGAGAGAACAGTGAGATTCAAACTTAGAAATTAGCCAGAATCATATTACTTTTGCGGTAAGGCGTCTCCGTGCGCGCACGCATGCGCACAGACACATAGGCGAGAGAAGACAGGAATTTACTGAGAGAAAGAGAAAGAGAGAGAGAACAGTGAGATTCAAGCTTAGAAATTAGCCAGAATCATATTACTTTCATACTTTGGTATACGTTTAGTGGTGTAAATTGCAATGATGTATTGCTATTAGTTAGGAAGTCAGCCTTTGTATTCTTCGTCATAGGCCATGTCATGCTTCAGGCACGCACTATACAAGCATGTTGTTATTACATGCCATTAAGTCCCATCTGACTTACGGTGACCCATAAGAAAGAGCAATCTCTAAAATGTCTTGTCCTCAACGTTAAGTCCCATCTGAATTACGGTGACCCATAAGAATGAGCAATCTCTAAAATGTCTTGTCCTCAACTGTCCTGCTGAGGTCCTGCAATCTTGTGGCTTCCTTTAGGGACTCAGCCCATCTCGTATTCAGCCTTCCTCTTCTCCTGCTGCCTTCCACCTCTCCCAGCATTATTACCTTTCCCAGGGAATCCTGTCTTCTCATGATGGGCCCAAAGTAGGGCAGTCTCTGTTTCAACATTTATGCTTCCAGAGATCATTCAGGCTTGATTTGATCTAGGACCCACTTCTTCGCCTTTCCGGGTATCCTCAAAGCTCTCTTTGAGCACCACATTTCAAACAAATCCTTTGTTTGTTCCAATCATCTTTCTTCACTGTCCAGCTCTCAAACTCATCGTTAGCAATTGGGAATACATTACTGTGGATGATGGATAGCTCAGTGGTTTAGGTCTCTGGCTGCAGAGTCAAAAGTTGGGAGTTCGATTCCCCTGCACTGGGCCTCCTTGACAGGGCTGGACTGGATGACCCATCGGGTCCCTTCCAGCTCTGCCGTTCTAAGAGTATTATTTGCTATCACTGGTATCATCATCTTGGCCCGGTTCAACACTTTACCTAACAAATCCACCTCCAATAATTTGCCACTGCCATTTACCAAGTTGCATCTCCCTTAGGGTAGAAAGGCAGAAAAGATTTTGGCCGCTATTGCTGTAATTCAGATAGAAATAAAATAGTACATCTTTTATCTCAATGCAGAATTGAGGAAGCCGGTGTTGCTGATGCGCCGTTTGTTATCCCAGGAGTGTTAAGCATGAAGGGGTAAACTCATCCAGCAGCTCAGTTTTCCTAAATGATCTTTATTTTTAAAATGGCCCCGAACCGGGGTGGTCTTTCCATATTGGACCTCTGCTGTTCGGCAGCAGTCCTTCAAACACAAGGTTGGCCTCTGTACGTCAGGAGATGCAACCGTGGTCAGAAGTGGAAACATTTTCTTTTCTTTTAATACTGTACAAAGAATCTTGGTCTGCCCATCTTTCATTCCTTTTTCAGAGACACAACTCGTGTCAGGCCTTTACCACTGCTGGGTTAACAAAACAGGATGCTTAATCTGAATAGAGATGACTGGCACCAATGTCGTCTAGGTGGAGAATCCGCTCTGGGTTTTAGTCCGAATGAGCTGGCCTTGCCCAAGGTGCCGGACCTCTGCTGGGGAGGAACCTCAGCCCTCGTATAAAGTTTGGGCTAAAACACAGAACAGATCCCCTTTCCTATGAGTATGTCTGTGTGTCTCTGTTGAAAAGCTCCTGCTGCGACAATCAGATGCTCTCAGCCCTCAAGCCATCTCTCTTTCTAATAATGTCCTATATTGGATAAATTTGGCCTATATTGGGGGAGAAAGATTGGCGTTAAAAGCTGAAGAGCTGGGCCATGAGGGGAAGGAGAGAAGCTGGCAACCTGGTAAGGATGGCCAAAGCTTTCCGTGAAGGATAGGCTGGCCTGCCCATGAAGTGGGTGCAGGAGCAGAGAAGCATGGCTAGAGAAGCGTATGTGTGTGCAAATGAAAGAGAGAGACAGCAAGCGACCGTGTGCAGGATTAAGGATTTACTTAGGGGGGGGACCAAGGTGTGCCTTTCGGTTCGGGGTGGAGCAGAGGAAGAAGACGCAGAAACCAGGAGCAGAGGAAAACGGGAGCTGCTGCTTTAAATTTGGAATTCATAGAATCATAGAAAAGTGAAGTTGGAAGGGGCCTGCGAGGTCATCAAGTCCAACCCCCTGCTCAGTGCAGGAATACCTTCAAAACGGATCTGCCAGGTGTTGATCTAAGTTTTTCTTGAATGCCCCCAGGGTTGGAGCACTCACCAACTCCCGAAGTCACTGGTTCCACTGTCGTCCTGCTCTAACAGTTAAGAACTTTTTCCTGATATTCAACCGAAATCTGGCTTCCTTTAACTTGAGCCCATGGTTGCATGTACTGTACTTGGTTGAGAACAGATCTTGCCTCTCCTCTGTAGGACAGCCTTTCAAATATTTGAAAAGTGCGGTCATATCACCCTTCCATCTTCTTTTCTCAAGGCTAAACATGCCCAGTTCTTTCCGTCTTTCCTCCTAGGGCTTGGTTTCCAGCCCCTTGATCCTCCTTGTCGCCCTCATCTGAACTTGTTCCAATTTGTTCGCATCTTTCTTGAAGTGTGGCATCTAGAACTGGACACCGTACTCCAGATGAGGCCTAACTAGTGCCAAATAGAGGGGGACTCCCCATGTCTGTATACTGTCTGTCTTTCACTATTTTGCAATAGTTGCTTTCTGAAGGGGCTGACCTTAATAATGCCATAAATATCCACCTTTAGGATCAGCAAGGTAATCGTAAATTTAAGTGCACAGATGCTTATTCCGACCATCTCTGCAGTGAGCTCTTCTGGCCAAGGGTCCAAAAATACAAGCAGCTCAACTGAGCCCACTGTAACAAAAGAGGAGCGGGTCTTTGGTAAAGCTAATGGCTCTTAATTGCCCATTCAAGAGCAAAGCACCCTCAAATACTTTGCTGTCCAACAGCAGGCGCTTGCGACAATATTAAAATATTCTGAGAAGGTCCGTTTCTGTTGTGAGGAGCGCAACTAAGCTCAGAGGAAACCCAGAAGCTTGGGGTGGGTGGTGCCAAAATCCCTGCAGATCCAGACCCACCCAGGATTCAATCCTGCCCAACCCTGGCTCCAGGGCACCACGGCCTATGACGTCACTAATCCTGACATCTCCGGAAATGGTACTTGGCTCCCTTCATACCAAACGCCACCCACAATCCCCTGCCAATTCAAGGCTCCTGTGAGTCCTGGCTCCATCACACCACCCCTCTGCACATTCTCAGAGGCACTCTTGCTTAAAGAAGGACGCATCAGAGGTTACAAGGCCAAGCCAGCCACAAACACCCAGCCGCGATCCTTTCTCTATCCATCTTGGCAATCTTCTCGGCATTTTGCTGCTCGGCTGCCCCCCCGTCCCTCCCCGCCGACTCGCCTCCCGGCTCTGTCGGCTCTGTCATGGAATTAATTTCTGGAAATTTTAATCCTTTCACCCACAGAAGTGAGGCTGAGGCAGCCGCTCGCTTCCAGCTTGACAGGCTCTGACCTAATTTGCACAAGAGGGAAAGGTGGCAGTGGTGTTTGGGGTGTGTGTGTGTGTGTGTGGAAAACACATTAAAAGAGTGGCACATTTCGCCGCTGGTGCACAGCGGAGAGTGTGAAAATGTGGGGGGGAGCAAGAGGCGGGTGGGCTGCAATCTAACACGGATCTGAAAGCGCGTGTGCAAGAAGACTTGTGGTGGGAGCGTGTGCGTGTGCGAGGAGACAGCAAAGCGAGAATTAAGGGGAAGTGGCAGACGTGAATAAGTGTAAGGGAAAAATGCAAGGTGCGTGTAGGTGCGTGAACACAACACGTGTGTCCATGCGTGAGCTAGCGCATCTTCCAGAAGAACCCGGGGGGGGTAAACGGGGACGGATTCTTTCAGAGCTGCTGCTGCTGCAGAATCTACCCGCATAAAAAATGTACATTAAAAATATATAAACCCCAAGCTTTCTGGCACTATTACCTTTACTTTTAATTGGCCCATTCTCGTGCATTTTTTAGCAGCCGCCACATGGAGAGTTTTTTTTTTAAAAGCAGCTTTCTTTGTCTAATTTTTCCTTCTCGCCACCCTGAGAAAAGCTGCGCCTCTTTATTATCTATGGGGCAAAGTGGAGGAAGTGGCAAACTTTGACCCGAGCCTTTCTGAGGTACCGTATTTTTCACACCATAAGACGCACTTTTCCCCCCACAAAACAGGGGGGTGGAAAGTCTGTGCGTCTTATGGAGCGAAGAAAACAGATTATATTTTCCTGTTTTCTTCTCCTAAAAAATTGGTGCGTCTTATGGAAAGGTGTGTCTTATGGAGTGAAAAATACGGGTAAATACAGCAGAGGGTTTTTGTGTGTGTGTGTGTGTGGGGGTCTGCCTATGTCCTACCGGGATGGGACTCTAGCGATAAGCCTCGATGAAGGAACGAGATGGGATCCTATCTCCCTGTTCTCTAGATACAGCAGAGGGGTTTTTTTTTGTGTGTGTGTGGGGTCTGCCTGTGAACCACCGGGATGAGACCCTAGCGATAAGCTTCTATGAAGGAACGGGATGGGATCCTATCTCCCTGTTCTCTAGATTCCCGATCCATCCTTTTGCCCTAGCTGCGTTGTTTGTTTTTTTAAAATATTTGTATTTAAGGAAAGAAGCAGATGGCAGCAAGGGAAAGCGAGGCTTGGCGTGACTGCTTGGGAGAAGCCCTGAAGTTGCTCCTCTTAATGAGATGAGCAATGCATGCCTGCGCATGTGTCTGTTGTCTGGGTGGACCGCCGAGATGCAAGGTTGCCAGCTTTTCATTTCTGCTTCTGCTCCTGTGCCCTTTAGCGACCTTTTGCTACGGGGGGGGGGATATTACGCCAAGAATATTTTTCTTGTCAGTTCCGCTCGGCGCCAAGAAAAGCTTCGCTTTTCGCATTTTAATTTTGCTGAGCTGCTGTGAACATTCAGGAGCAGTGAAAGAAAGAAAGAGAGAAAGAGAGAGAGAACTGATGATGCCTGCAGAAAATAATTTTATATATTACTATATTCAGTGGCAGCTGGCGCCTGCTGAGGCAAGAGAAGCAGAAATACTGGATTTGAAGTCAATTTCATCTAGTTTGCTACCTGACCTCTAGCTTTTGCAAGGTCTAAGTCAGGCTGGCAAAAATCTGTCGTTTGGAATTGGTATTAGGGTGAGGCCGGTTGGTGCCCCGTTTCCCAAACAGTAGGAAATGATGATGCTTACTTACTCCAAAGACGACCGAAGGACTGATTGCTTTGTTATTGCCCGTGTCTCTGGAACGGGGGCCCTTTCTTTCTCATCCCCAGAAAATACATTGAGATTAAAATTATTGACGACGAAGAGTACGAGAAAAACAAGAATTTCCACTTGGAGCTGGGCCCACCAGAGCTTCTGGACACGGGACCCCACCATGGTAAGTACAGCGCGTCGCTAAGGAAGGGGTACAGAAAAGCTTGGAAATACCTAATTACAAGTAACAGTTGCCTGGAACTAGTTCCTTTCCAGGTAAGGGAGAATGTAACATGTAGTTACAAAGTTACTATGGCCAGAATCCTATTAGCGATCACTTAAAGTTTGTGTAACGTGCCATGGCTAATTGTGGCGAACTAACTAGAGGCCGGGGCTACCAAGGCGTGCCTCGACCCCTTGCCAGTTAGCCGCAATGAGCTGTGGAAAGTTACACAGATTTTCCATGGATAGCAACAGGATTCCAACTAATGTAACTCGTAGTTACCAGCTTTCTTTTAAGTGTTACAAGTAATGATTCTCAGTTGCTTTCTATATATATATATATTCTGTGTGTGTTTATGTACGTGTGTGTAGATAGATAGATAGATAGATAGATAGATAGATAGATAGATAGATAGATAGATAGATAGATAGATAGATAGATAGATAGATAGATAGATAGATAGATAGATAGATAGATAGATAGATAGATAGATGATAGATGATAGATAGATAAATATTGTTTGTGTCTGTATTCTATCTATCTATTTATCCATCCATCCATCCATCCATCCATCCATCCATCCATCCATCCATCCATCCACATACACACATGTACATAAATACAAAGATATTATCGAAAGCAACTGAGAATCATTACTTGTAACACTTGAAAGCTAGTAACTACGAGTTACATTACTTTCATTATATACTGTGTGTATGTATGTATGTATGTGTATATAGTAATCTTTTCCTGCTTGGGTTTGGACTTTTTCCTGTGCTTTTTGAACAACCGTATGGCAGTGCAGGAATTAAACAGGCTTTGCCTGCTTAAGCGAGAGGACGTGTGAGAGAAAACTTCAGCTATTGAATTTGTGGGAACCCCAAACAGAGCTGAAAAGCTATAGAATCGGGGGAGGAAAAAAGGGAGAACTGAGGGCCGAATCTCTTATCATTAAGGAATCAAAGGGCGTTGAGGAGCAGAGGGCGGCATTTGGAGAAACAGACGCTGGAAAGATCAGAGGCCAGGAAAGCGGCCCTGTGGGACAACAACTCCCATCTTCCCCCACCTTGTGGGGGCAGAATGCTGGGAGTTGTAGTCCATAGACGGCAGAGTCTTCTTTGCTACCAGGATTCAAAGAGGACAGGCAGGGGTGTGTGGGGAGAGGCAGCGGGTGCCAATTCTGGGTCTCCTTTGCCCCCTAGGCGATTCCAACGAAAACCGGCTGCCTGAGGGGGGTGAAGACGAGGCGATTGCCAAGATGGGGTGCCCCAGCCTGGGAGAGCACCCCAAACTTGAAGTCGTTATTGAGGAATCTTATGAGTTCAAGGTAATTGGACCCTTTCTTTCTCTCACTAGAAATCCCCTGACGGCTCTTGAATTCACAATTTCCCTTAAAAAAAACCATCCTGGGTCTGTTCTCACACCCAGGCTCTTGCTGTTGAGCCCCCTGCCAGGAACCTCCCTTAATTTCTCTCCTTAATTTCTCTCCTTCTTGATGATAATATTGTTCCTTTATTAGTTATTACACTGTGCCTCAAGGCAGGGCTTATGGCTTCCCTCCTTTCTCCTCACAACAACCTTCTGAGGTAGGCCAGAACAGAGCTTGGGTGCGATTTGTTGAAAATTAATTCCTTGCTTGGCTCTTCTAAGCAACGGTTTCAAAAGCCATCATTGTCAACTGTTTTAACATCAGTGCCACGAATGGTACGAGGAAGGAATTACGGTTGATATCAACCGGGTAATCGTAGAAAATCTGAATAATTTTTTCATTGCTTCAATGCTTTTTAACACTGCGAAGAAATATGTCACAAACAGCGCTTTATTGCTTTTTTTTTTTAACACTGCGAAGAAATATGTCACAAACAGGTTTGCTGACGCCTTAAATCGTGCATCAATTTTACCGTGGCGGCTGGAACGCTGACCAAAAAACGTGACTGAATGGCAACGAATTAATTTTTGCAAATAGTATCAATGCCATTGGCTTTAACATTGACATTCCGGGCTCTCCGAAGTAGTTCAGGAGTTTCAAGGGAATCACATACAACCTGACACTGATTCTCAAGTTAAAAAAAAAATAAGGCCCAGTCTGTGGGCGCTTCTCTGGATATGGATTTTCTCCTAACATTTTAGCTCGTGTGCATTCCCTGGAAATCTCCATGCCTCGGTTCCTCTTGTCCTGGCCTGTTAGAATGATGACAGAAATGGAGATCTCTCTCTCCTGTGCATCGACAACTTCTGGTGTATTTCAGAATAGCTGCCCTGTCTTCCTGACAGAAATGGAGACCTCTCTCTTCTGTTCATTGACAACTTCTCGTGTATTTCAGAATAGCTGCCCTGTCTTCCCTTAATGGATTTTATGTTCTTTGAAGCAAACGTATATATTCCAGCCCTTTCTCACAAAATTTGGCTCCCTGCTCCGCCACCAAGTTGGTTATTGTCTTTTTCAGCCACACATGATTCACCCTGTACCAAACTATCGCTTAAAAGATGGCTCCTTATTTAGAGGGGGAGAAATGCTCTCATGTCGGTTATAATATTTGAGATGGATGCACCTCCGATCCTATTTCAGTCTTATTATTCTGAAAACATGCCACCAGGCTCCGTGGCCAACGGCCCCTCTCCATCTCTCTCTCTTTCACGTGGCACCTTACCGTCTGGGGCCCCTTGCCGTCGTGACATTGGCGAGGCAAAGTGGCCGGGAGGGGAGGGCATCGGGCAAGATTTCCTTACGCCATCAAAGCAGACGCGGGCGACTCTGAAGCCACCGGTGGGGAGAGGTGTCAGGGAGTCTGCCCCGAGATTTAGTCCGAACTCAAAAGGCGGGTCTGCGCATCGATTTGGAGCGCTGGCAAAAATGGAAAGGTGGGAGAAAAGAAAGGAGGATTGGAGAGACGGCGAAGATATGTTGGCATTTGAAAAGCCTAACGGGTTTATTTCACGGATCAAAAGCCAGGGCTGAAGATAGGATTCAGCATGTTGGAGAGTGCCTGTAAAGTTCAAGCTAAAACCCTGAGCAGATTCGTGACACTGACGTCCTCGAATCTAGGCCACAGGGAGGAGGTGGGTGAAACAGGAGATGGTGAAAGGGGGTAGCAAGATTGGGGGTGACAGGCATTTCCCGCCCTCCATTGGGGCCCCCATCACTTCCACCCTCACCCCTCTCCTCCTGCTTCCCTACCCTTCTTCCAGAGCACCGTAGACAAACTGATCAAGAAGACGAACTTGGCCCTCGTTGTGGGGAGCAGCAGTTGGAGGGAACAATTCGTTAGTGCCGTCACCGTCAGTGCCGGTAAGGAAGAAAAGGGCAGACGTTGGGAATGGAGTGGGATCTCGTCAACTTCTAAACACGGGGTGGGGAGGATTCAGAAATCCTGGCTGGACCCATTGAAGGCCACATCACGATCCTCCGATATTTGGCTTTTATAAATGTTCTATCAGAAAAAAGCCCTCTCGCATTCTTTCGTAGTTATGGGGGAAAACTTTGCCAACTTTTTGCCAGCTCCCGGGCTGTTCTACGAGAGGCTGGACCGGGTGGGTGGGTGGTGGGGTTGATGCTGGCGTTTCAGTCCCAGAAAGTCAGGAAAGGAGTATTCAGCGCGTGGCAGGGTGATCATTTTGTGTCAACACAACAGCCCTTCTGTGTAGGCACTGTTCAATGGGAAGCATTTCTTCACAGGAAGGTTGAATTAGGTCCTTCTTAGGGATCCCGTGTTGCATTGCCCTTCTTTTAAAAGGGGATTTCATCTAATTTTAACTTAGTGGTTAAAACGCTGTACTCGGTAAAATGAGTACCCAACTTGCTGGGGGAAATTTTTTTTTAAAAAAATACATTACAAATATAAATAAATCCGCACCTCCGACCCTGCAGGTGATGACGAGGACGACGATTCCGGCGAGGAGCGCCTCCCTTCCTGCTTCGACTACATCATGCACTTCCTGACGGTGTTCTGGAAAGTTCTCTTCGCCTTCGTGCCGCCTACCGAGTACTGGTGTGGCTGGGCGTGCTTCTTCGTCTCCATCTCCCTCATCGGCGTCCTCACCGCCCTGACGGGGGACCTGGCTGCCCACTTCGGCTGCACCATCGGCCTCAAGGACTCGGTGACGGCGGTGGTTTTCGTGGCCCTTGGCACCTCAGTGCCCGGTCAGTGAGGGAAGGGTCAGGGTGGGCAAGCCGGGCTGGGTATTATGGGGTGGCGGGCTCAACTGCCAATCCAGCTGCAGGCGGTCTCTTGGCAGGGGAAACTGAAGGGTCAGCCCCCGTTTCCGGATCAAGCTGAGTTTTCACACCATAAGAAATTGTCTGCTTAATTTCTCAAGTTGCAGTTCGAGATATGCGAGCGGGACTAGGATGAGACACCAAGAGATGCAAAGAACACAAAGACGGGGATGGCCTTGAACATAATTTCACGCTGGAATCACAGAATGCTAAGATTATAGAAATGGGATCCCCAGAGGTCATCTACTCCAACCCCCACATGATGTGGAAAAACTAGATGGCGTGTCCCTGATAGATAGCCCAGGTGGAGGATCTTTCTCTCTCTCCAGATGTTCTGGACGACAGCCACCGTTCCTACCCATGGGCCACACACACTGGGGCTGATGGGAATTGTTATGCCAAAACATCTCAAGCACCATTATTCCCTCACCCCAGTTTAACCAGTAAATCTTGAGGTGCTTCATAGCCATGTTCTCGGGGAAGAGTTGCTTTGCTCGAGACATATGGCTTAACACCAGTTGTTCATCCCAAATAGAACAGACTTGCTGAATCCACGGGATTTATGTGGGGAGCAACTCTTAGCTGAGACTAGCAATTGGATTTAGACTATAGGGCTGAGTGTTGGCATTATATACCTTTGTACACAGAAGCATGCATCCTATATATGTTTGCAAATAAACACGCAGCAGCAGCGATATAGGGCATAATAACCAATTAAGTGGTGCCTCGCTAGACGATGATAATCCAGTCCACTGAAATCGCTGTTTAGCGAAATCATTGTCTAGCGAAAAGCATTTCGGCATTGGAATGCATTGAAATCTGTTTAATCCGTTCCAATGGGGAAGAATCATCGTTGTCTAGCGAAGATTGGCCTTAGGAAAGCCGCTTTGTGAACCGCCGATCAGCTGTTTAAATCGCTGCCTTGCAAAGCTTAGGTCCCGAAAATACCCGTTTTGTGAGCGTGGAGGGAGCTGTCAAAATCATTGTCTAGCAAAAATCGGTTTGCGAAGCAGGGACCAAACATTGTCCAGCGAAATTCCCCCATAGGAATCACTGTTTTACGAATCACTATAGCAATCACAAAAAGTCAGTGTCTAGCGAGGCACCACTGTCATAGGATCTACCAAACCCCATAGGATTGTGAAGAGGGAAAGGGCTGGGGACAGCTATTTCACTTGAAGGTCAACAGGTCACAAGTAATCAGAAACAGATCTTTTGTAAAGCTAATGGGTCTTAACTGCTAATGGGTCCTAAAGTTAATTTTTCTTGCTCTGCAATAATAAAAAGGATAGCTTATATGAAACATTGTTCCCAGAAAAAATCTCTCCCCCTGTCTTTATTAACTACTGCATGAGGATTGTAGTTAAGCTCTGAAGAAATAAATCCGAGGGGGGTAGCAAATGAAGTAATTCTCCTTGCTAATCAAAGTGTCGCGGCACTTTGATGCTTTTAAGCCCTGGCTCTACGACACCCTAATTAATAAACCTTTTCTTTGATTGTTTTGCTCCTGTGGATCATACCAAAATGCTCGTCTTCCAAAATCTCTCAGCAGGCTGCTTTGGGGTAGCTTAAAAGTACCGCATTTTTCGCACCATAAGACACACTTTTTCCCCACAAAACAGGAGGGTGGAAAGTCTGTGCGTCTTATGGAGCGAAGAAAACACATTATATTTTCCTGTTTTCTTCTCCTAAAAATTGGTGCGTCTTATGGAAAGGTGAGTCTTATGGAGCGAAAAATACGGTAATCAATGAATGATTGTCCCTAGCGTCTGATAAATAAGAGATAGACTGCTCCTTGATGTGGCAGTTCTATTTTTAAAGCTCACCTGTAGTGGCTTGAAATCCTGGTGCACAACTTTATGGCATGTAAGGCTGATGACAGAGCTTTTTTTGGGGGGGATTAAACAATTCTCTCACCCCCGCCCCGATGAAGGTCCTGAGGTTCCTTTGGGATCCTTTGACTCACCAGGTGATAAATAAGAGATAGACTGCTCCTTGATGTGGCAGTTCTATTTTTAAAGCTCACCTGTAGTGGCTTGAAATCCTGGTGCACAACTTTATGGCATGTAAGGCTGATGACAGAGCTTTTTTTGGGGGGGATTAAACAATTCTCTCACCCCCGCCCCGATGAAGGTCCTGAGGTTCCTTTGGGATCCTTTGACTCACCAGGAAACGGCTGGCAGATTTGTGTAAATCCTTAAGACTATCCTATAAAATTTAAAGTTAAAGGAAGCCAGATTTTGGCTGAATATCAGGAAAAACGTCCTAACTGTTAGAGCAAGACAACAGGGGAACGAGTGACCTCGGGAGTTGGTGAGTGCTCGAACACTGGAGGCATTCAAGAAAAACTTAAATAATCACCTAGCAGATACGCTTTGATGGTATTCCTGCATTGAGCAGGGGGTTGGATTTGATGACCTCGTAGGCCCCTTCCAACGTCACTATTCTATGATTGTCCGAACTGTTAGAGCAGGACGACAGGGGAACGAGTGACCTGCGGAGTTGGCGAGGCATTCAAGAAAAACTTAGATAATCACCTGGCAGATACGCTTTGATGGTATTCCTGCATTGAGCAGGGGGTTGGACTTGATGGCCTCGTAGGCCCCTTCCAACGTCACTATTCTATGATTCTATGAAATATTGAACAAGCCTTTAAAAATATAATAATACATTCTCTTTTGTATTTCAGTTTCTGATCCTTAAATCGGTAAAATCATCCTGCTGTGGCAATTTGGGGTAATTACAGGCCTCACCTGTACTATCCCGCACCTCTCAATGGTACCCCACCGATGAAAGAGATGCCACAGAAACCTCGGAACGATTGGAGGAAGAACTTGAAAAATTGCTATGGTTGATGATATCATCAGCCTTACATGATGCTAGTTACACAGCTGGATTTTAGCCCGTGATGGCTCAAATTCTCCATGCGTTTGCTCGGTCCTACAATTGAACGGACACAGATTGTAAGCCTGAAATCACTCACCTAGCAGTAAACTGCATTGAAGTCAGCAGAACATCTTTCTGATTACCTGTGCATATCATATTCTAAGCCTGAAATCACTCACCTAGCAGTAAACTGCATTGAAGTCAGCGGAACATCTTTCTGATTACCTGCGCATATTCTACTGATGTTGCTGGGGGCTTTTTTTTTTTTAAAAAGGGGTCGTTTAAGACTATAAAAGATCCTATAAAATACTGGATAAGACTTCAAAACACAATAACACATTTTAGATTCTCTTTTGTGTTTCGGTTTATGATGTGCTATAAGGCCACGGGGGATAATTTAATCAGAAATAAACGGAGGTGGTGGGGGAGGCAGAGATGAAAAATCAGGGATGAAACAGAGGTTTCTGACTCTGTGGCTGGCTACCCAACATGGTCTCAAGGTTAGAATAGGACTCAAAAGGCATGGATTCAATTCCCCTCTCAGCTATGGAAACTCAGAGGTGGCAATGTTAAACCATTCCTCAAACATCTCATGTACCTTGAAAGTCCTATAAATTGGGAGTGAAATTGGGAGCATAACAATATTCATGTGCTGTCAATTCTGACCGATGATGACCCTTTCTAGGGTTTTCCAGGTAGAGAATAGAAGTGTTTTACCCTCTCCTTCCACTAGGGGCTGCCCTGGGACTGTGCAGCTTGCCCAAGGCCACCCAGGCTGGCTCTTTTTCCAGAAGTCCCGGTGGGGGGGGGGGGAATCGAACGCCCAACCTCTGGCTCTGCAGGCAAATACCTAGGCCACTGAGCTATCCAGCCTGCTTGATGGTACATCACAGGACCTTTTAAAAAGTGGTTTAAAGGTGGCTCCCCACTCCTGGAGGCTGTGGTTCCCCCAGGGCTTCATTTTTGTACACCCTTAGTGCAGAACAAAATTAGACTCTGGATGCTTCACCCCACAGGTTCTAAAAATAATAATTATGCTTCGCCACATCAGTTTGGACATGGCTGTCCTCCCAGGGTTTTCTAGGTAACAAGCACTCGGATATGCTTCCCACTCTGGGAGCGCCAGGCAGTTTGCCCCACATATCATGGGTGGCAGGGCATATAAACCCCCCACCCATACTCTGGCAATTTTGAGCCATGCCCCCTTCCGGGAGGCATGAGGGAGATTCGAACCCCCCACCCTGTGCTCCATTCTACTGAGCTATTCCATCTCCACGTATGTTCTAACTAGGGATATATTCCCCCCCCCGACATGTACATATGTGCATGCGCATCAATTTGGGGGCTCTAGCAAATCCAAAATCTGCTTTTTTAAGGGTGCATCAAGGTGCATAGGTGTGTCACCGGGGTGTATGCATTAATGATACGGATAAACGAACAGAAAATTTAACTTCTTGAAGATGCAGCAGAGGAAGTCGGAGGGGGTGGCAGCAAGCAAGCAGGCAGGGTGTGCTCTGGCAGTTTTGAGCCATGCCCCCTTCAAGGAGGCATGAGGGAGCTTCGAACCCCCCACCCTATGCTCCATTCTACTGAGCTATTCCATCTCCACGTATGTTCTAACTAGGGATATATTCCCCCCCCCGACATGTACATATGTGCATGCGCATCAATTTGGGGGCTCTAGCAAATCCAAAATCTGCTTTTTAAAGGGTGCATCAAGGTGCATAGGTGTGTCACCGGGGTGTATGCATTAATGATATGGATAAACAAACAGAAAATTTAACTTCTTGAAGATGCAGCAGAGGAAGTCGGAGGGGGTGGCAGCAAGCAAGCAGGCAGGGTGTTGTGTGTGTGTGTGTGTGTGTGTGTGAAATAGAGGCGTCTGCCTTTAACAAACTGTCTGGAGAACAGGATTAGAAATGAGAAAAAGCTGGCTGGTGGAGAAAGGGTGATAAGAGTAAATCTCATATTGAGCCAGCCAGCGGGAGAAACTGCTACCGCCCCCAGAAAAGTACTTATATGCCCAAATAAATTATTACAGGCCGGTTTTGTTGAGGACAAAGGATTCTGGAGAGGACTGGAAGGTACGAATGTGCCACAAAAAGATACAGGCTCTTGCTCTCTCCATTTTTTAAAAGACAGTGTTTTTTTTAAGCTAGCAAAAGAAAACGCCCAAGACATGATGTGTAAGAAAGCTGCTCTTTCCTTGAAACAGTTTGTCTGGTTGCACAGCTGGGAAAGCCTGAAGCGGCAGCTTGTGTAACTTTGCGTTTTCAAACAACCGAATGCTAAACCTTGTCTGCCCATTTCTTGTGAATCCACCACCCCGTGCTTTTCCCCCCCTTTGGGCTTGGACACAAACGCCTGGTCGCACACCTACCTTAGTTCTGAGCTGAGACAGCCTCGAGGTGCCGAAGTAGCTCCTCGGTGAGCTTGTCCAAGAAACAGCCTTGTGCTGTTTGGATTTCCAGGGGAATAAGAGCGCTCTGCTAGACCTCAGCTGCTAGACCTCAGCTGCTTTTCAGCGCAGAGCCATGAAAGTAGAGGTGACTCTCTCTCTCTCTCTCTCTCTCTCTCTCTTCCAGCTGAGCCTCATTCTGAGACTACTTAAGGGAGGCAGAAGAAAGCCCCATAGAGGCCACTTTAAAAAAAACTCTTTCAAAGGAAAGTGAGATAGAACCGTAGCAAATTATTTGTGGGATAGGAACCTTTTGTCTTGAAGGATCCAAAATCAGTGGTTATTGTAAATAATTTTGTTTAAATCCTTTGCCTAAATATTTGGTTGGTAGCAATGTTGAAACTGAAATGTTTCCTCTTCTTCCAGAATTTGGAAACTGGGGCGAACAGAAAGTGGGAAGTTATATACCTCTCCCCCAATACATGGTTGCAATATTTGGAAACTGACCGCTTGGTTTTGTTTTCTTTGCTAAGAAACTCATTCCTTTGCGCATCACTTGTTACTTCCAATCATTTCACATTTTCTCAGTGTGACTTTTGAATTGGCACTTCGTTAACTCATCATTACCCTGCCCATAACTAGTTACAGGGGACTTTGTGACTTGTAACTTGTTCCTTCCAAAATTGAGCTGCGAATAACGGACCGTATGTCATTCATTTCCGTTTGCCACGGTGAAGATCCTTGACCAGTTGCAAAATGGTTATAATGCAACACAGGGTAATACCACGTGCGCTCCGGAAGTCATTTTTCGTGGTGGTGGTGGTTCAACTTAGAAGGCCACGTCGGCTTCTCCTCCAGCGACATTTTTTCTCTCTCCCTCTCTCTTTTCCACGCAGATACCTTTGCCAGCAAAGTGGCCGCCATCCAAGACCAGCACGCCGACGCCTCCATCGGCAACGTGACCGGCAGCAACGCCGTCAACGTCTTCCTGGGCATCGGGGTGGCCTGGACCATCGCAGCCGGCTACTGGGCCAGCCGGGGGGAGCCATTCCGGGTCGAGCCGGGCACCCTGGCCTTCTCCGTCACCCTGTTTACCATCTTTGCCTTCCTCAGCGTCGCCGTGCTCTTGTACCGACGCCGGCCCCCCATCGGCGGAGAACTGGGGGGTCCCCGAACGCCGAAAGCCCTGGCCACCCTCCTCTTCGTCAGCCTCTGGCTGATCTACATTCTCCTGGCGGCTCTGGAGGCGTACTGCCATATTAAAGGCTTCTAAGGGACAGATCGCGATGGAGTCGGTGGTGGTGCTCGGAGCCTTGACTTCATGCCACTTTGGGAGACTGACCTCCGGGTCACCTGAAAGGAGATATACTTTGTCCCATGTTGGGAATCCCGGCCTCTTCCCTGACCTCCACAGGGGCACGTCCACCTTCTGCTCTCCTTCGGAGAAAACTGTGCCCGGCAGCGACCGACCGCCGAGCCCCGGCGAAGGCGGCGCTCAACACGGAGTCGTCCTCCGTGGCCCGAGGGCCCGACTCAGGCCCACGGTTACGTGTCCGTTCCACGAGGGACCGGCGAGAGGGACCGTCCCCTCTATTGGGAGCAGCACCGTGGATCTCGATCCAGCGGGAGGGTTTCCCGCCTCCATTTAGAGAAACACAACTCCTACGGTGACCCACGCTAGCCGGGGAGAGAACTGGTGTGGGGAGAACCCCCCCCATCATCCTGCAACTCTAGGCGTGTTAGGGGAGGTGCAATAGAACCTTTAAAGCCAGGCTAATGGGCTGATCTGAGTGAAGCCTCCACGTAGAGGAGGAAAATAAACAGGCCCCCCCATTCTCGCCACCCATACAAGGGTTTGAGGGGAGGGTGGGGCTAATTCATCATCTTATACAACCACCCACCGGGCCTGGTACCTCAGATCCTGCCCTCCTGAAGCCTGGACACCTGAACCGTGTTCATTGTGGACTAGCGGCATGTCTAGGCTTGTCAGCACCAAGGCAAAGGTGATGAACAGCCTTTGCTTCCTGGCGAGATCATTTGTTAACGGCCAGGAGAGCTAGCCAGCCAAATCCTGTTGGGGTGGGGAGGGCGAAGACTCCCGGTCTCCCCCCTACCCCGTTTGTTCCGTTCCAAGCACACTCAATTCTCTCCCTTAACCCGACCCCCCCAGAACAGCACAAAATCTCAAACAGCAAAAAATTATAATAAAATAGAGAATAGCTGCTAGTCTTTGCATCACCTCTCTGCTCAACCGCCCCCCCCTCGTCTCCCCAAATTCACCACTTTCCCCCGCCTGTTTGGCTCCTTTTTTTTCCAGTACAGGAACCCAGATGTCCAATTTCATTGGTATGGTTTTGCTCACAAGAACCACCACAACTTAACGTTATTTTTTTTAAATAAGGGAAGTAGCCTTTGGAAACCTCTGACACTGACTGACTGGTCTGCCCTCTTCCCTGTCCCTTAATATGGACTCCCTTACCATGTGCCATAGTCACTGTGCACAGTGCTTCCTTACCTTCCAAACCCCTCCAGGGGGGAGGATATTGGTACATCCCATTCCCCCCCCCAAGTTCGCATGGCGGCTCCTGTCCTCTCGATCGGTCCAGTCCGGTGCGTCTTTTGAGTCACTTTTCTGTGTTTACGGTTGCCTGTTGTCTTCCGCCCCTGCCTGCCGCCTGGGAGCCCAAACGTGTAGTCCTTCCTCCTTCTCCCTTTGCCTGCAATACGTGGGGTTTGTTTTGTGTCGTGTGTGTATGTTTGTTTGTGTTTCTTTTTCTAAAAGTTATTTAAAACTTCCTGGAGACAGTTGTGCTCTTTATTTATTGGGGAGGGGCTGTCATATTTAGTTGAAATATGCCAGAATTTCAATATATTGTGTGGGGTGGGAGGGTGTCAGGAGAAATGAGCTGTCTGGGTAGCTCGGTGGTTTAGGTCTCTGGCTAAATTCCCAGCAGTGCTGCTTATTAAAAAAGCCAGCCTGGGTGGCCTTGGGCCAGCTGCACAGTCCCAGGGCGCCCCTAGAGGAAGGGAAGGGTAAAGCACCTGTGTATGTTCTACTTAGGATCATCCTAAATCAGAACTTGATTTGAGAGCACGTGATCATCATTATTATGAGGAAATACATGTGGTGTAGTCCAAATCCAACTGCTAATATCAGTTAGAGGAAACCCATTGAATTAATTCGGACTCGAGAGTTACCCGTATTTTTCCATGTATAAGACGCCCCCCCACTTTTCTAATCCAAAATTAAGAAATCTAAGTGGGGCTTAGCAAGTGTAAGGGGAAAGGGATCAAAGCGCTGCAGGATCGCTTTGATCCCTGCTTTCCCCTCCACTTGTTTTTGTTCTCTCCTCGGCTTACTTCCGTGTATAAGACGACCCTCAATTTTTAGTCTAAAGATTTTAGACAAAACTATAGTCTTATACACAGAAAAATACGGTACATAAACGGCACAGATTCAGTGGCTGAAATCCTGTGCTGTAAAGCAAAAGGTGTAACTTTTGGAGTCAAATGACTATAAGAAATCGCCCTACCACTCAATATGCAACAGATAGGGGAAATTCTTAATTTGAGGCATTTTGCCGCCAAAAGGGGTGCCATCGACATCACTGTGCAACACAATCCCAGCCAATAGGTCTACTTTAGTTGGAGCTACCCAGTCATTCTAGGTTATTGCCTCCATCTCTGTTACTTGGCTTACTGGTGCAGGGATTTAAAACCGGGAAGCTCTCGCTCAAAATCAAAATATCTGGTGAGGTGCTCTCAAACAAAAGCTCAGTGGTTTAGGTCCTTGGCTGTGGAGCCAGAGGTTGGGAGTTCGATTCCCCCACTGGGCCTCTTGGATAGGGGCTGGACTGGATGATCCAGAGGGCCCCTTCCAGTTCTGCAGATCTAGGATCATTATTATTATTACGTAAGGAGCGAAACTATTCAAAATACAAACAATCCAGCATGTACAAGGGAAGAGAGAAGTGAAGAAGCTAAGATGGAATGTTTCAACAGCTGAACAACCCTGGGATAAGGGACCTTGAACGCCTTTATTATTATTATTTTTGTACTCTCTAAGCTTGTATTTGGTGAGTTTGTTATTTGTGCCTGTGGCTCGACCTTAACGCCCTACGTCTCTTCTGCCCCCCGAGAATGGTGAACCTGATGGTGATGGCTATTTCTGAGACCAAAAAGAAACTTTGGGCCGTCGTTCCCCCCGAGGTGTGTGGACTACAACACCTATCACCACTGGAGCCATCCTGTCTGTGGATGATGGGAGTCACAACCCAATATTGAGAAAGACTGGGGGGGTTAAAAGCAAAGGTGTTCTGCTTCTGGCTGGAATACAGACGTATTGGGCTAAGAACAGAGAGAGAGAGAGAGATTGTGGAACATCGAGCGGAACTGAATCAAGACAGTACGGCCTAGTGGTTCCCTTATATATGTATAAAAATGGGTTTTTTATTTTTCCGAGCTGGCCAGGACGGGTACTTTTCTGCTAATGCGGTTTCAAGGTCAGAAGGCAAAGAGAGCTTCTGTTATGAAATCGGTCCTTCTTTTCAAGACGAGAACATCCAAAAGGGGGTCAGTTGAGAAAGAGGGGGGCGTTAAAAGCAAATGTGTTCTGCTTCTGGCTGGAATACAGATGTAATGGGCTAAGAACACAGAGAGAGAGATTGTGGAACATCGAGCTGAATCAAGACAGTACGGTACGGCCTAGTGGTTCCCTTATATATGTATAAAAATGGGTTTTTTATTTTTCCGAGCTGGCCAGGACGGGTACTTTTCTGCTAATGCGGTTTCAAGGTCAGAAGGCAAAGAGAGCTTCTGTTATGAAAGGGGGTCAGGACACAATTTCTGGCCACGGCCGCACGAGGGCCCCCTCAAGACCCCCCCCAGGCGGGTGCTCCAAAACGAGAACACAACACACTTCTAACTCTTCCCGGTTCTTCCGCCTTTGCTTTTTCAGAAGCAACTTAGCCTCGTCCCTCGGCCTCCACGCCGGGAAAAAGCTTCGTTTCCTGCCTTGTTCCAGGCTGCAGTGAAAAGTACAGGAGCCATGCCAAAAAAAAAGCTGGCAACCTCCACCCCCCCCCTCTTTGGGACTACATCTCCCAGAATCCCACAGCCAGCAGAGTGGCGACCAAAGAGGCCAAAGGTGGGATTTTTGTTTTGATTGTACGGACTACAGAAACCATAATTCTGGGAGTTCTACTTTACAGACACCTTCCAAAAAAAAAAACCACAAAACCCAACAACACCTAAATGTGGCTCGCCTCAACGGGAAGGCTTTGAAGCCCAAGCTAGGCCTTAGCTCCACTTTCGTTTCCTGCTCCGAAAGCTCCCAGCTAGCACCTGGGCAGGAACAGGAAGTCCGGATGAAGCTAGGCCTAGCTATTCCTCAATGGGCAATTCTAGACGCTGCAAAGTCGAAAAAAGAGAGATTTTACACAGACCAATGGCATAAGGCAGCTTTCCAGATGCTGGGCGTGCCCTCCCATCAGCTGTGGCACATGGGCTTTGCCTTGCCCAAGAGCCAACGGTTAAGGCCCAGCATCTCCAGAGTCACACAGCAGGGGAAAGGGGGGGAAAAAAAGAGAATTTCTTGCTGCACGCCAGAGTAGACCCTACTGGGCTGGAGAGGCCAGAGGCTGGACTCCGTAAGAGGCGGCTTCCTGGATCTATTGGATGCTTTTCAGGATGACCGAGCGCGGAATACATATAACGGTCCTACTGTAGACACAAAGAATGTGATGGAGCCCTAAAGCGGGCTTAATAAAGAAGAAATATCATCGGTTATTATCTCCTTCGTTGCAAATTTTCTCCCTTGGAAGGCTGCCAAGGAACAAGCGGACGCCACTGAATTATGAGTTTATTATTTATGTTAAAAAAAAAATTAACAAGACAGGGGAAGTGTGTGTGTGGGGGAAATATTACATCCAGAGAAGGAAAACGGCCAAGCAGTGACTTTGCCGCGAAGGGCGGCCCCCTTTCCTCTTGGCGCCCCAGGCCCAGAAGCAGCGAGAGACCCACCGTCTCACAGTAAACAAGAGTCCTGTCTTCAACCAGTTTCCCCAGCTTGCTCACGACCCCACAATTGGGGGGGCACAAGGTCCCTAAGCATGCAGAAATGGGAGGTGGGAAGGGAAAGGCCAGACGGACAATCTAAGATAGTAAATGGTTGGGTGAGGGACGGACACTATGTTTTTAGGCAGATC